TCTGTGTGTGTCTGTGTGTGTCTGTGTGTGTCTGTGTGTGTCTGTGTGTGTCTGTGTGTGTCTGTGTGTGTCTGTGTGTGTCTGTGTGTGTCTGTGTGGGTCTGTGTGTGTCTGTGTGTGTCTGTGTGTGTCTGTGTGTGTCTGTGTGTGTCTGTGTGTGTCTGTGTGTGTCTGTGTGTGTCTGTGTGTGTGTGTGTGTGTCTGTGTGTCTGTGTGTCTGTGTTTGCGTGTCTGTGTGTCTGTGTGTCTGTGTGTGCGTGTGTCTGTGTGTCTGTGTGTGTGTGTGTCTGTGTGTCAGTGTGTCTGCGTGTCTGTGTGTCTGTGTGTCTGTCTGTGTCTGTGTCTGTGTCTCTGTGCGTGTGTCTGTGTGTTTGTGTCTCTGTGCGTCTGTGTGTCTGTGTGTCAGTGTCTCAGTGCGTATGTATATATGTATGTACGTACGTACTTATGCATGCATGCATGCATCTGCGTGTGTGGATCACCCCACCCAAAGGACGTGTTCAATTGGCCCGCAAGGTGATGGTTTAACACCTCCAAAGGGGGACATATAGGGAACATTGTGAAACCAGTGGAATGCATCCATCTCCAACCAAGCCACCCCGCCTCCTGCGTAGGGTTCTCTCCGAAATGACCTTCTTCCCCAAAGGGCATCGGCTCAACAAGCTAACCAGACCAGAAAAAAAACGACCTGCCATAAGGGCCAGAATGATCTCTCTACAGGGGTTGTGGCCTACTTAACAGGATTCAGCCATGATCACCCGGTATCAGTAGTCATTTTGCCGTTGTGAAGCCATTGCCACGTGTTTTTCCGGCCAGGGCTTCCTTCGCCTCTCCTCTCGCCTCGATCCAAGGCGCGCCAAAAACGCTCGGAGGATCTCCTGGTCTAGGCCCTCCGCGTCGAGCGCCAAGATGTCCACCGCCGCCGCCGGCCACTTGGCCTCCAACGTCGGGCGGAAAAACACCGCATGCGGTAACCGCTGGGTCGCCGAAAAGGCCGCTCTTTTCGTTTCAAAAGGAAGCGGGCAACAAGGAAGAAGCAACAACAAGAACCACTTTGAGGGTTCCAACGTTTAGACCTTTAGAGTCTGGGATGGTTTCCACCGCGCCCAGACCCCTACCCTGATTGCGCCCGGGGGACAAAACATGATGGATGATTGTAGCTGAGTTTGGCATATCTCCCAGAGAAAGCCGGAGGCACATTCAAAAACGTTTTTTTTTTTTTGTTTTCTCACTTGCAGGGAGGCAGCCTCGATCTGATTCGCACCTTTGCGGCTGCCCCCCCCAGTAATCCTCCCATTAAGACAACTAGTATGGGTGCCAAAATGAGACACCCGCATAAGACTTGGTTCTAAGACTCGGCGGCCCGTGATTTCTGTATGCGGCGCTGATTTATTCACTTCAGCGGATTTGGCAAGGCCACCCTCGGCGCAAAGTGAAGGAACGCCGAAAACCGGACTTCCCACTGGCCTCTGCCAAGAGCTGGGCGGGAGTCTTGCAAGGCACACGGATCTCCTGAGAGTTGTGGTGGTGTGGGGATGGGGGGGGGTGGGGGTGGGGGGTTGCGAGGGGGCGGACTCAAATCACTCATGACTTACGTCGGCCATAGCGCACCCCACGACCAAAGTCCAAGTGGGCCCTTGTAGTGTTATAGCAGTCCAGGGTGGGTGTCTCCAATTGCGGGGCCTATAAGAGAACAACTGGCTACTTGAAGGAACTTCGCAAAAACCATTGTATTTGTCTGGCGGGCTTATATATATATATGTATAAATATTAAAAGAAAACATAATAGGACATGCTAGGACCCGAGGGAAAGCTAGGGAACATGTGGAGGACAGTGCTGGCCTGCCATCCATCCCAACTTGTGCGAAAGGCATTTCGTCCGTTAGGAGGAAACTATCTTTTTCCCCCTCCCCCTCTCCAATTGAGCTAAGAAGGTTCTACGTAGGCCACTCCTCTTTGATAGAATCCCCTCCCCCCAACGCCCCCCAAGCAAAGAAAAGAAGGACGACAAAGCAAAGAGGCTCCCGTTTTGTCGGTCACCTCCACCCGAACACACACACACCTGCCCCAAACAAAAAACGAAAAGAAGGAAAACAAACGCCCCCAACCCCCCCCCCCAAAAAAAAAAAAAACAGAAAAACCCAAAGAGGCTGCCTTTTTGTCGGTGGCCTCCACCCTGCCACCCCCACCCTCCCCCCCCAAAAAAAGAAAAGAAAAGTGAGAAAGCCAAACAAAAACGAAAAGGCTGCCTTTTTGTCGGTGACCTCCACCCCACCCCACCCACCCACCCACCCACCCAACCAACCAACCAACCAACGCCCAGCCCTAGTAAAAAAAACAGCCCTAGTAACCAAAAAACCACCGGATCCCCCCCTCAACAAAAAACAAACATAAAAAATAAAAGGGAACAACAACCGCGGGCCACAAATCTTCTTCGAGCCCAAGAAGTCCTCCACATATCGGGCGAAGTGTTGCTTGCTGAGGCCCAGGTGCACGTGATGCTTCTCCACGTGGGCGCGGTCCAGGGAGCTGAGTTGGTACAGGGCCCAGTGGAACGCCTTCCTGCGGCTCTGTTGCGCAAACGGGCCTAGACCCAAAGGGCCTGCAGTCTCCATGACGACCCCCAGAAACGTGGGGCACTGACCCCATGGTTTTAGATATTGAACCATTTTTTCAGGGTCACGGAGACTCCAGGTAGTTTTTTTCCCAGCAAAACCGATTCTCACTTCCGAACAAGTGGGCTGGCCAGGAAAAAGGCGGGGTTTCATCGGGAAGCTATGTTGTTGTGTTCTCCAAAAGGTCGTGGCGTGTGAACCTCGACTTCGGGAAAGAAATTCGTGCCTACGGGGGTAAGCAAAGGTGGTTTCACTTCTTGTAGTGGGTTGGCCAAACTGTTTCATTACCACTATAACAGGCTTCCCGACAAAAGTATCAAGTTCTTGTTCCGAAAGTGTTAAGCGGGTGTGTACAAGACATCGGGTGACCGCATGGATGGTTCTCTGGTGGCTCGCAGCAGACTCTGTTGGCTTGAACGGAAGCCAAGAGAAAAACCGAGCCATGGTCGCAAATCGAGCAAGGGGTTGATGACCATCCCTACCAACTCCATAAGCTATGATGTGCAAACTCTTGGTGGCTACTGCCCCCGGTGCAAAAAGCTTAACCTTGTGTGGCTTAGTGGTATAGCACACATTCTCTCAAACGAGTTGGCAAAAGTTCCAACCAAATAGCAGCCAAGAAACTGATGTACCCACACCCCACTGACTTGCGAGAAAAACGATCGTCACCCTTCGTTTTTCCGCGCTTTTCCACAGGCACACCCCTTTTTCACAGGTCTAAAAGGGGCAACCACCCTGAAACCTTGGGCCCACATCCACTCCAATTTGGCAGACGACTTTTGGGTCATTCCAAGGCTAGCTCCTCCAGAGAGGTTAGAATAAGGGTACTTTTTTTGTTGTTGGTCTATTTTAGTAGGGGAACCCTCCCAACCAAAAAAGGGGATAAGAAGGGCACTACTGGGGGACCTAGAAGGAGTAGTTCGCTACTTTGAAGGGGCCTATGTCCTACTGTGCATATCTCTGATGGACAGCATTTTTTGGCCAAGCACCCAAACCCCCCCCTTTCAGGGCTCCACTTTTTGAACTTAAACCCAGGAGGTTCCCTTTCCAGACAATCAACCACTCCCTTGGGTTCAGTCGACCTTGGGGTAGTCAAAAAGTGGAACCCTGCCCCCTCACAGGTTTCCGGACGGCACCCACACCCCCACCCCCCCCCCCCAAAACCCCCTCACCCCCCCAACCCCCATCCCACCCCACCCCCCCCCCCCAAGGCGCCTGGGCTGCTCCGCCGCCAGGCGCGGCGACACCACGAAGAAGGCCGCGTCCTCCGCGGAGTCGCCAGGCACCACCGCGCAGTTCACCGCAGAGACGCGGCCATCGAAGAGCCCGGAGACCTGAACACGTCGGGTCCAAGGGGGATCTTTTAGGGCCCGGAACGGCGAGAAATGCGACAAAACAAACAAACAAACAAACAAACACACAAGGATTTGCCCGGCTCCACCTGAACAAGGGGGTCTCTTGGCCAGCTTTCGCGGAAAAGGATCGACCGCCTCGTAGTGAAGGACTCCTTGTTGAGGGGGTCGCCAAATTTCTCACACAAGGTGGCCAAAAGACACCCCTGCGCGGTGACCGGAACCCCAGGTCGAAGGGCAATTTTGTTTGGGCCCGGAACGGCGACAAATGCGACCAAAAAAAAAATGCCCGGAGACCTTGTCAACTTGGCTTCTCCCTGTTTGGGGAATTGAACATTTCATAGAACCTTCTGTTCTATTTCAACCTTCCATTCTTCCCTTTCATTTCAATCCCGTGTATCTTGAGCTGACACCCTCAAATCCTTTTTTCCCCCTTGTGGAGTGTTTTGGTCTTGGGATTAAGGCAGCGGCTTCTATGGACTTCAACCCCTATGGGTCAAAATCCCGTACCCCAATGAACATCAAGATCCCAACTAAAATCGACTACAGTGGGTGGTGCACCTACCCCAAAATGGTACCATTGGTGTTGACCCACAGCCAAGTCTGCTTTGAATAGTGGCACTGCGCAGCGCGAGCGCTACCCCACCCCTTGCAAACAAGATGCCTCCTGGCGACGATCCCCAGGTGATGACATGTGTCTTAGATAAGTAGGGGAAGCGACCCTACAAAGGGGCTTCCCAAAACGGGCACCCAAAATGGCAGAGTCCTGCCTTGCTGCTCAGCGTAGCGCACACGTTTGGGTTCGCCTCCACCAGCAGTCCGTGGATTTTGGGCTCTTTTAGCAGGAAGCCCTGAACTGGGTCGTTGGAGGACGCGTCCTGATGGATCTGCGCGAATGGCCACATTCACTAGGTTCAAAACCATCCTCTAAATTGCGGTTTGCAGGGAATCCCCCGACCGTCCGACAACTTTTTGCGGCCATTTTGCAACCCATCCTCGCCAAAGTCCCCGTCGCAGGCTCCGACCTGCACCAAGTTCACCCGGCTTCTGGTCCCGGCCATTTGGCGCAGCAGGGGGGCCGCATCCACCGCCGGCAGCGGAACCGCCACCGGTCTCAGCAGCAGAGACGGCGCCAGCAGCACAAGGCGAACGACAAGCCGCGGGCATTTTGGATGCCGCATGTCAGTTGCACATCACAAGCCCATGCTCACCATCTTTCGCAGAGGTGAAATGCATGGCACGGGCTCATCAAGGAATTAAATACAAACCTCTCTTTAACCCTGGCCCAGTCGTACAAAGAGCCACAAGAGCCTCATCAACTGACTTTGGCTTCTGACTGGCCACATCGACGGCAAAGCTGACCATGACTCTTATAATGTGTTTTTTTTAGCAATGCGGGCGGCCGCTTCTCCGTGGCCGGAAAAACGCGGTTTGCAAACCGCCCCACGTCACATGGAACCATCCAGACCCGTCGCCCCACTTGCTCCAGCCGAAACGGGCTCATTTCACCCACAAAGGGAACATGTTAAGGTCCCTTTGGGGGTTACCAACATTCACCATGCATTGCTTTGGTCAAAGGATGTCAGAGCCCGCAAAGGCCAAGGGAATTCCGAGTCCCCCTCCAAACACCGGTCCTGAGGCATTTTTAGGGTGGCTTGGAGAAGTGTACGGCTCCACGCTGCCAACCTGGGGTCACAGCACGGGCTTCAAATCCATGAGACACATCCAAACACCTTCGTTGCCTCCTGACATTGCGAGCGCATGCGCCCAGCTTTACCACCCGTAGCCCATGGTAAACACGGGTGTTGTAGACCTAAACCGACCAAAGCAAGCACCTTTTTCGAGAAAACCCGACCTGGACGCAATCTCCTTGGGCCCGAAACAGCCGGCCCGTCGCCTCCACCTCCGATCTCAGGAAGCTTTGCTCCTTCTGCAGTTGGCTCATGAGAGCCGTCTGCGCCGCCTCGAGCGGAGATCCATTGGAGATCCATGGGAGCCACAGCACGGAGTGAGACCCGGTTTCCTTTTATCCTACTAGTAGCTTGGGGTCAATGTGTTTAAAAGGGAGCCTGTACTCCAAAGCGCGTGTGCCCTGCCCTCTTCTTTGAGTAGCTTGGGGCAACATTGACAAGTGTGCTGTTTGAAAGGGAGCCTCTACTCCAAAGCGAGGGTGACTGGGCGGTTTTGTTGTAGTTGTGATGCTGAATTTGCTGAGCTACGTCTCAATGTGAGGATCTAGCAATGACCATTATGAGCAGCGAGCCCACCAAACAAACAAAGAACTCAAAGCTTAGCCCATCCCTTGGTTGCTGTTGACCCCCCTGCAAAAAATAACTGTTTGGGGGTTTAGTGGAAACCCCCTTGATTTCCCAAAAAGTTAAAGCCTAAAGATCCAACCCAATAGGAATCAAAATCTGACTGGCGAGGTGAATGACTTTCAACTCTGAACCAGCGCATGCTGAGGGCCACGCTATGGCGCCCTTTCCTCGGCAGCCGTCTCAAATCCCCAACCCCCCCCCCCAAAGGGCTCTGGATGGCCAGTTCGGCCCGGGCCCCGAAAAAGTTTGGTGTTGGAAGCCCGCGCCTTGAAACTTCATACCGCGCAGTGAGACACATTCAAACCGGGTCTTTCGGATTGTCACCTGCAGATCGAACCTTCCATTTGCTTAAGCCCCCTGGAGAAAATATTTCCCGTAGTGATAGATTCCCTTTAAAACCAACAGGGGAAAATAAACCATATTCTTAAGCAAATGGAAGTATAGTGTTAGATTCCCTTTAAAAACAACAGGGGAAAACGACATATTCTTAAACACATGGAAGAAACAAGTGGCCAAACCGAACAAGTCATGATTAAAGCTCGGCCCAGTTGTAGAATGTATATCTTATTGTCTGCTTCACTTTGAGTCACTGGTAAACTGTAAAATGTATCCTAAGTCTACCCCAGTGACCAAACCGTTGGCCCCTTTCCCAGCGGTCGCCCTTCCGGCTTTCTGCCAAGCCGCTGATGCGTCCAGAGGCATCCTGGCACTGAGCGGAGCGCTTCCGGGAAGCCTTTGATGCGCCCGGAATGAAATGTGCCCAACTGAATGTTAACCCCGGATCTAAGTAGAACCCCTGGTTGATTAATAGGGGGTGTCCCCTTTTAGTGGGGATTCAGACCACTTTTGGAAGGAACACCCCCCTAATAATGGGACGAGTTTATTAATCCTGGGTCAACATTAAGATACGTAACTTAAGAGACTCCTACTGCGGATGGACGAAATCCTACACCACCTAAGAGGCCCTGGAATGATCATTCCCCCTGAAAATGCCAGCAAATAATTGCGTCCCGTGTTATCAAAGTGGTGTTTTGGAGGTTCAGTGGAGAAAGCCTTGGCTAACTTAATGTTAACCCCGGATTCCTTCTTTCCATTCTTTCGGGGATCCTTCTTTCTAGAAAACCTGAAGAAACGCAAGGAAAACGGCAAGTGCTTGAAAAGAACGATACAAAAAGTGCTCCACTTTTTGCGGGTGTCGTGGAAAAGGCCTTGATTTCAACCAAAAAGTTAAAGTCTAAAGATCCAACTCCAACCCAATAGCAGTCAAGTTAAGAGACTCCTAGGGCCTGCATTTGTTCAAAATCTTTGGAATCGCCTTACTTGTGGACACCAATGGACACATGCATATGGGCCTTGTCCAAAATAAGGGAGACCCCAAGATGGTGATGTCCCTTTTATTTTCCCTAACCCCCCCCCCCCCCCGCCCCCGGCGGAAATGGTCCCCTCAAAAGGGACACACCCATACATAGATGGGTTGACCTCTGGTATGAGCCCTGATATTCATCGATGATGTTGATTGATTCATCTGAGTCCTGGACAATGCGATTTGGAGAGCTTGGGGTGATTAGCATGGCACCCTGTATCTTCCCCATCCGCCCAACCTGCAAACCTGGCCCCCGATTCCATGCTCAACGCGAAGTGGAAGTAAGCTGTCAGCGGGGTATAACATATCTTGAAAAGCCCCCTCAGGATGGCTTGAAACATGCTATGTCCAAAATGGCAATTTCCTAACCATAAGCATTCCGGGAGCCAGTCAACTTATGAATAGGCGGTCACAGTTTGATGGCACATGCACCCCAGTGCCTAAGATGGCATACCAGCCACATCCGCTTTGCTTTGGGTTCGTGACTAAGATGGCACGCACTAAGCGTGCGTTGGATGTGCCTTCTTATCGTGGCAGCTTTTCTGATCCCAGTTGCCGGGACCAAATCCATCTTTTGGTGTAGGGAAAGTTGGCCATGCAAGCACGGATCCCGAGCCCCCCTCAGAATAACAATGCATCACGAGGAAAACACTTCTCCTTAACACAAGCAACGCGCACATTGGCCCCAGAAAACAACTTTCTGACAGAGGAGGGGGCATGGAAGGGAGATTCATGTAACGGGGTAGGGGACTCATAGAGACCCAAGCGCCAAAGCGGCCGCGGCCAATTTCATCATCGGCGGTCGTGCACCCCTTGTTCCCCCTGTTAAATTCAACTGCAGAAGCTCTCTACACCCAAAGTTGGCACACGCTGGCTCTTGTCAGCTCAGCCGGCCTCAACTGTAGAAAGCTCCAAACAGTTTGTGGCACTCCTGGTGGCTCCTTAGCTCCCTTTGTAAAAGGTAAATCGGACACCCCCAGCTCCTTAGCTATGTCCTAAGCACAGGCTAGTCACTCTGCAATGATTTTGCCACAACTAATCGATGAACAGGTTTGCAGAGCCAATCAAGAAGGATGGTTGGTCACTGTGTGCCATGCTTGGGTTCCCTTTTGTTTTCAGCTCCGTGGGCGCGCGGAAAAAGCGGCTAAACTCACTACTGCTGGCACACGTGTGGGCTGTTTGTGTGTGCCATCTTTTTGTGACCCCTTATAGCCCAAGTCTAGCACGCCTTTCTTTTTCTGAACAGCCGAGTGAAGCAAACGGATCTGAAACGCAGAAGTTGCAGCCTCTGCAGTTCCAATGCATTTCCGGGTCAACGAGGTAAACAAATCTCAAGAAAGCCAACGAGGCATGAACACAACACTATTCACATTTAAACCTCAAAGACAATTCTCTGATTTTCTTTCCACTGGATCCCCTGCCCCCCCCAAAATAAAACAATAATAATACTAATAATAATAAATAAGTAAACTAAAAAACTGATAAACAAAAACAGGAAACAAAACCATAAAAACACAAGCACTTCTCAGACACTTGTTCAAGAGGTAGCCACTCAGTATGCCGAGAGTTCTGGGAGAATACTTTGGTTTGTTGCGGTTCTCTCAACTTCGTTTCTGGCTTGTAGTTTTGGGCAGGGATAATTGCCGTTGATTGAACACAATTCTTCCAGTACAGAATGGAAGTTCGAGTTGAGCTGCTTTTTTTGAATCAGTTGTGACTACTACATGTGTATCCGGATATATCTGCATGTGTTTTTTTTGATTTTTAATTGTTTTTGTTTTAATAAAAAAAAATAATAATAATATATATATATATATAGAGAGAGAGAGAGATTTCATATATCCCCCCACCCCGCCCCAGCCCACGCACCGGAGGGCCGCGTTTGGATCCGGATCCCACCCCCGCGCCTCCTCGAAGACCCCCACCCAGGTGCCCCCAAAGGGCCGAGAGTTCAGCAGCTCCCCGACCCCCTCCGCCACCACCGCCTCTGCACCTCGGCCGTGGATTCGGCCATCCGTCAGCTCGAAACGCTGGATGTCTGGAACACTTGCGAACATAGGTGTCCTTTTGGAAAAAAAAGAAGGAGATGGTCCTGGTAAAGGGAGCAATAACAACATCTAAACCAATGACGTCTATGTTTAACCACGCTAACCTAAAAAGGACACTATGTTTGCAAATGCGCCCCCTGAAAAAAATACAAGTTGCAGCAGATTCCCAGTTGAAAAAAAATGGAGAGACAAACAAAACTGGAAGCAAACGGAAGTTCTCCCAGCGGGCCTTCTGCTGCCACTTGGATGTTTAACTCGCAACCGTGGTTGGGTCTCCTGCTCCGAGAAAATTGAGGGAGAGGAGAGGGAGTTAGGATTTTTTATGACGAAATCCTGGAAACAAAGCTGGACTCAGCTGACAATCCCCTCCCCTGCAAATTGAACATATAGGGGTCCCCTAAATAGATATTCTTCATCAGGTTGTATGGTTCCATATTTATCAGGAGGCTAGCTCATCTGAAGCGGGTATTCTTATGCTTGTCAAGGGACCACCCAAAAGGGACCAAACGCCACCCACGGGGCTGGTAGCCCGTAATGTTCCATGTTTCAGCCCCCGACTGGGAGATTCCCCTGATGTCCATTTCACCGGAGAAAGCGGGCAACCTTGGATCTGAGTGCTTGTTGTTCCCAAAGAATCTGAAATTCCCCCCGGGTCGAACCCGAGCAGCGAGCCCAACTTTTTCCTGGAAAAGACCGCGTGGCCATCTTGTCGCCGAGGAAAAAAACAAAAACTCGCGCCATCAAAACGCCGCGCAAGGGGTGATTGTCATTCTCGAGGGCGGGATAGTTCTCCTCAGCAGCCCCAGCAACATAGACCATAATCATGGCAATCCGTTTTGGGGCCATGAGTATGGACCACCAAAGGGGAACATGTCAAAAGGGTGTTTCCTAAAAGAAAGTAGGGACCCTTCAAGTGGCTAATTCCCTGAGAACCATCCAAAAGGGAGACCGATCCCCATCCGCCGAAACACCCAACACTTGCTTGAATCTCGGGCACTCCAAAAAAAACATGCGACATCTTCTCATTGAGGCTTCCTTTCGTGGCCAACCCAAAAATACACAAACACAAACACAAACACACACACACACACACACACACACACACACACACACACACACACACACACACACACACACACACACACACACACACACACACACACACACACACACACCGCAGAACACATATATATATATATATATATTTATATATATATATATATATTAAATCATACGTACATTATACATGTGGCCAATCCAACAAAACATGATATATATATATAGATATATACATATGGGTGTATATATATATATATATATATATATTAAATCATACGTACATTATACATGTGGCCAATCCAACAAAACATGATATATATATATATATAGATATATACATATGGGTGTATATATATATATATATGTATACCCATATGTATATATATATATATACACGGATATATAAGAACCTCCTCTACTGGTGAAGGCGGCTTCGCCCCTTCGCTCCTTCGCCGAGCGGAGCTCCGCGGTCTCGAGCTCTCGGGTCATCGCCTGGCCTCCTCGAGGGCCTTGCGGATGCGGTCCACGGAGTCCTGCTCCTCCGCCAGCTCCGCCTCCTGCTGCTTGGCCCAGTTCTTCATGCTCTCCTCAGGGAAGGGAGGGGGGGAAAGGGGGGGGGGAAGGGGGAGAGGAGAGGAGAGGAGTTCGGGGGGTGAGGGGGGGGGGGGAGGGGGGGGGAAGGGGAGGGGGGGGAAGGGGGGAGGATGGAGAGAGAGGAGTTGTGGAGGGGGGGGGGAATGTATTTGGTTGGTTCCAAGCTGCTGTAAGAGTCATGGAGGCACGGCTTGAACCACCAAACTGCTTAAACAATTTGCCCCACCCTGCTCCTTCACATCCTGGCCAGCCTTCTCATACCTCAGTCCGCACTGGGCAATTGAGTGCACCAGGCAACCTGTCGGTTGCTCATTTCTACCACGCCGTGTTTGATTCATGCCTCCCTTGCCCTTGCCCTTGGGAAGGGGAAAAAACATTAAACAAAAAAAAGAACAGAAGTCGGGTGTGAACCAGCTTGGGGCGTCATGTGCTCGAGAACCTCCCAACGCTGGACCTGGAAAGGTAGATGCCTTTTGAGCCCTCGGCTGAATTTGGTTGCCATGAATTGGGAACACACGAGTCGAAAGGTGGATTTGGTCAGGTACGTTCGTTCCACATATATATATATACACATATTTCCCCTCAATGCATCACCCCAAGCAAGGCAACACCATAGATGGGCAAAACCAAGATGGGGAAAAGGGCCGGAAATTCCGCTTGCAAGTGAGATGCTCCTTGTTCCAGGCATCAAAGGCCTTCTCTGCGTCCTTGGTGTCCTCGAAGACGCCCAGCAGGTACCGGTTGCCGAACGAATCGATGGCCTCCGACTTGTACAGCTTCCTCACTCGCCACCGACATAGAACTTGGTAGGTTCATCCCCTAAACTTTGAACGTTGAGAGGGATACGGGATATGCAATGCAATGCATCCAGGTCGAAGGGAATGGCCGACAATCGCCGTTAGAGTCTTCCGTGCTGGGCAAATGGGTCAGAGCAATGCGTTTCAGGGGTGCTGCGAGACTTCTCCAGCTCTGAAGCAGTAGAAACAAATAGTGAAAGCCAAAAGTTCACTTGGCCGACTATTTTGCGGCTAATCCATGTGAGTCATAATCAACACTGATCGGTATTGAAATGGGCGACCAAGAACCACGCAAAGAATCAAAAAGGCTGCACCTATTTATGCTTGCATCCCTACGTTCTGCGGGGTTCCCCCTTTTTGGGGGGGAATAAAGGACGTCAGCTACGGAAAGTGAGGGAACGGTGGACAAAAAACATGTTCGGGGCTAACCTCAGACAACTTATACAAAGAATGAAGTTGGAACATGGAATTTCACTACGTCCCCCCCTGATTCCTATTTGGCTGTGGCTCAAAAAACCGGTGCCAAAATGGGTTGCCCTGGTAAGTGGAAACGTGGACTTCAAAACCTGCGGTTTGCCCCTCCTGCTTAATTTTGAGCCACACCCATTTTAAGGAGGGGGAAAAAACAAATCGGGGCTTCGTCCCCCGATTTTTTTTTCGTCGCTCGCTGAGCTTCTCAGCGGTGCCCCAGTTGTGCTTGAACTCGCCCTTGACTGACGCCGGCTCCTTGGCGAGGTCCGCCAACATCTCCTCGTCCAAGGGCGGCACCGGGCTGTCCGACCACTTGGGCAGCTCCTTCCAGATCTGCTTCACCTTGGCCGAAAGAATCGGGGAAGGAGGTCTCAAAATAGGGGGGATGCGAAAAACATCGATGGGGAACTTGAACCAAACGCAGAAACAAAAACGCTTGGGATGGAGGTCTCAACATAGGGGGGTTCATCCCCAAAGTAACCTCGGCGAGAAAACAAAAATACGCTTGGGATGGAGGTCTCAACATAGGGGGGTTCATCCCCAAAGTAACCTCGGCGAGAAAACAAAAACACGGTTGGGAGGGAGGTCTCTCCAAGTAGGGTGGTCTTGGTTTCATCCCCAAAGCGACCTTGGCGAATAAAACACATCGGTTGGGAAGTTTCTCAACATAGGGGGGGGGTGCATCCCCAAAGCGACCTTGGCGAACAAAACAAATCGGCTGGGAGGGAGGTGTCTCCAAATTGGGGGTTCATCCCCGAAGCGGTTTGGGCCGGGGGCATCAAAAGAGCGGTCTGTTGTTCGTTGCATGATCTGGACACCCTCATAGGCGGTTCCCCAAAGCCAACGGAAAGCCAACCACTTCCAAGGATCCGAAGTTGGGATAGTTTTTTTTTTTTTTTTTTTTTTTTTTTTTTTTAAATAGACTGTTTCAGCCAGACAATATGCATGTTTGGAGGAGGCCCCAAATAAACTGACCCCGCCGCCCTACATCGTTGCATGTGTTCTTGTTTGATTCACTTCCTGAGAGGTGTTGCAAAAAAAAGAAGGTGATGTGTTTTGCAGGTGTTTTTCGCCTTTCTGTGCAAATGAGCGGGAAGCCTTGATATTGCCCAAAGGTTAGCACCCCCTGCGTGTTTCGTTATTGGCCGGTGAATGGGAAACATTGGCGCTACACAAAGATTGACATGGCTAGATGTCAAACCACAGAGCAACCAAGTCACAATGTCCGCCTTGGTCTTGCCTGGCATCTCCTTCTGGGAGCGGAAGAACTTCTTCAGCTGCGTCACCTCCTTCTCCACCTCCTGACGTGCCTCGTAGTACTCACCCACAAGCGTCCCCAGGGTCTTCACCCACTCCTCTTGCAGCTCCCCATTGGCGTAAGACTCCGCCTCGGACTCGCTGTGGTCCTTCTTGTAGGCCTCGAGCTTCTCCTTATACTGGTTGGCATAGTCACCTAGCTTCTCAAACAGGACCCGGGGCATCATCACCTTGAAGTCCTCGCCAGCAGCTGGGATCGAAAAGTCCTTGAACATTGCGTCAAGGTCTTTGAAGCCCTTGGAGTCTTCCTTCAGCTTCTCAAGAGTCTTCACGTTGTTGTCGTGGTGCTCCGCGTCGTTGGCAATCGCAAACAGCTCCTCCAAAGGAGAACTGTCGGGATACTCCTTGCCCTCTTTCTCCGCCATGGCCATCTTTCGGCTGGCAGTGGCCCAGCGACGGTCAGCGTCACGGTCGATTTCCACGGTCTCCGATTTCAAGCCGAAGTCGTAGCCCACCTGGCCGGCCCTTTTCTGCAAAGCCTGGTAGTCGGGGGCCCTCATAGACTCCTCCTTCTTGTAGTCCTCCCTCTCGTTGTCGAAGAACTTCTGGAGGACCTTGCCGAAGGCCGCAATCTTCTCCTGATCCACCGTCTTCTTGAAGTCATCGCCTGACCTGAACTTTTTGTTGAACTCGTTCTGGGCCTGCTTCAGCAGCAGAGCCTGATCGTCCTTGCTCAGGGTGTCCTTCCATGCGTAGAAGTCATCCTTGAAGCCGCGCATGGCCATGCGGCTTTGCCTCGCGGGCGTGCCCGTGGTCACGAAGGACTGCGAATGGGACACCAGGAGGTACGCGCCCATGCCTAGGTGCCAAATAATCAGGAAGGGGGGGGGGAGCTTCTGAAAAAATGATCCGTGCCCATGCCTAGGTACTAAATAATTAGGAAGGGGGGGGGCTTCTAAACAAATGAAAGGAATCCATACGCACCGTTTTGGCTCCTCTTTTTTTGTCCCTGGGAAAGTTCAAAGCGATTGGCTATTTGGCACCTAGACGCCCAACAGGGCAGCAGGCACTAGGCGGGGAGATGGAGCCATGGCTTGTTCTGGCACGATCCGAACTGCAGTACCTCCCCCTGAGCCGACATACCCAAAGTTGTAAGTGAAACAACTCCAGTCATAGGTGTCCTTTTAGGGGAAATAGACGGCCCTGGTAGATGATTAAACCACCAGGCAAACCAGGGCCATCTATTTTTCTAGCAAAACAGCCAAAAAGGACCTATGACTCCAGTTGCCGACTTTCACCCCAGCAGTCAATATCATCACCCCTCTCCTAGACCTTCATTTGCTTAAGTCCCCTGGGAAAAAAGAAACAACAATTCCAGTAGTCATAGATTCCCTTTAAAACAAACAGGGGAAAATAACACCATATTCTTCACCAAATGGAAGTAGATGGCACCTCCCGGATTTGTGCTCCTTACCTATGGGCATGAAGGAACTGGTGCCATCTACATTCAGCCTGGGATTTCACGAGTCACCATACCACTCGCCTTCAAGCAAGTGCGGCAGAGTCACCGACTGGATCAAATGCAACGCTTACACATCCGACAAGCTAACTGTGCACACCGCGGCCATCGCAGCCGATATGGGCTGGAAGGTCTTTCCTCCGGCGCCAAACCCGCCAGATCGTTTCGGCAGGCTTCGATTTCGCTTGCTCAGCCGTTGGGGGGAGGGGGGGGGATGGGGGGAGGGCGGGGGGATTATCAAATGCATTTTTCTGAGTAATTTTGACACGGACCCACTGGTAGCAACAAATCGCGACAAACTTTACTCTTTGCAGCCCACCACCTACAATGAACACATCAAGAATCAAGAACCCCTCAAAACAAACAACAGAAGAAAACCGAACAACTAAAGAACCGCACAACTAAAGGCGCACCACAAACCCTGAAACAACAAGTTCACTTTTAATAACCTGCATCATGAACCAAACCAAGAAAACCACAAGGTCAAAAGGTCAACAGGTCAAAAGCTCGATGCGCATTGGGCAAGCGTATATGCGAACCAACACCTTCCAACAAAAAAACAAACAAACACACCACTTAAACCAACCCAAAAAGCACAACACAAACCTAACAAAAATACACAATACACCACTTGAACCAATAAACAACCCACAACACAAACCTTCCAACCAAAAACCAACACACCACTTGAACCAACCAACAACCCCCAAGACAAAGCACAGCACAAGATATGGCCATGGGTCAAAATCCCGCTTACTTCCCAGTGAACATCCGATTCAATCCAACCACTAAAATAGGTTCTAAAATGGGTGGTGAATTCACCTACCAACCAAAATGGGATCCCAAAACGGTTTTCACGGGCAGCCAAGTGAGGAGCCACCCTGCCACCCCTGTGGATATTCACCCTTGGATATATCCCGTTGGCTTTTGAGACCAGGCTACCCGCTTTGGTTTGTTTTGGGTTTCGACAGTGGTGCCCATGGGTACCTACTAGAAGGGAGTCAATATCTTCAAATCAACTTGCTGGTTCTTAGCGGGACGGAAAGGGGAACTGGTGGGCTCGACCCTACAACTGGAGTAGACCAGACTTGGTTTGTCTTGGGTTTCGACAACCTTAGGATTTTACCCACAACCATATTCCACTAAAAGAGGTTCTAAAATGGGTGGTGAATTCACCTACCAACCAAAATGGGATCCCAAAACGGTTTTGACCACCACACCCAGAACGCCTTCTAAAAAACAGTGGAGTAACTATCCACAAGCAGGCACCTTAGGTTTTCACCTCCAGTGAACATCCCAATCCCCACTAAAATAGGTCCCAAAATGGGTGGTGAGTTCACCTACCCACCCCGAACTGGGATCCCAAAACGGCTTCGACGGGCCCACGGCCCTGCTCCAAGCGCCGACTTTGGGCTTCCCGGCTCCAGGCGCTGGGATCCCCAGGCTCCACCAGCGACCTGCGAGTTCACTCAGCAAGGCGGCGAGTCCCTGGGACCTTGGGAGCTGGTACCCCTTGGCTTGGTTGCAGCGACCTGCGAAAAGTGGGGCCACTTTTTGGGGCAAATTGGCGGGAAATGGAACCCACGAATCTGTGACACGAATCTGTGACACCCAAAGACTAAGACCCCAGATACCAGGGGGAGAGTCCCAAAAGTATCACGGAAGTGGGAATAAACCCCTTGATTCCACAAGCTTGTGTTTGGGGGGGGTTTGTGGAAAACACGACTTGATTGCAACATATTTCAACGAAAAAAACAAAGTCTAAAGATCCAAACCAATAGCAATCAAGTTTGGAGCTTCCATGTTCTCGGGGAGTGTGCCCCTTTGTGGTTTTGGAATTTTAAAGCCACAAGTAAAGCCGCATGAATCATTCCATGGTTCCCTTTGTGGTTTTAAAGTATTTTGAAAGGAAAATTCAATCCCTACACTTCAACATTTAGTCAGTAATTAAGACGTTCGAGACTCAGTCCATAGCCAGCCTTATCCAAGACATTGTCTGAGACTTCAGAAAAGTAACCGTGATGCCAGCACGGGTTCTTCCCGTTAGTATTTATCACTTTCAAAGGGATTCTTCAAGTGTAACGCAGAAAATCGTACCCTAAAATCAAATTCGCTGCGCCCTTGTGCAACTTTGACTGCGCTCCCATTTTTTGTCGGACCACCCCCGAGATCCCAAGCAGTGATCACCGATCTGCCCACCTCTTCCGCGGGGCCACCACGGAGTTTCTGGAGGAGGGCGGCTTGCTGGCCACCGAACCCACTGCGAAGGAGCTACCTCCGGCGAGTGCCGAAGATGAGCCTTCTCCGTGGTTTGAAGGTCCGGGGGTTCCCAAGTATAGAACTAGGAGTTCAAACCCCCGAGCCAAAAGAAACTAACATTTGCTAAGCTTGGATAGTGACTTGTCAAAATCGGGTGGAAGCTGCAAAGATGCAAGGACTATCAAATCAAATCATAGGATCCTCTTGCTCCTTTGAAAGACCCGAAGCCTGAAGGTAAATGGACAGCAACAGGAAAACAGCAAGCCTTTCGTGTAGAAGGCTCTTGGCTGAAGGAAATATACAGCCACCAATGCAGCAACGGTTGTAGAATGCCCGCGTTGAGCGCATTCTAACACTGCATACGCTGGGCCAGGCGGAGGGCAAATTTCCCCCGAAACACGGGAAATCAAACAAATTCCCACGGTTTCACGCCAAACAAACAACTCGTGGCCCCACTTCGCCTGCCTGGTCATGAACGCAATACTGGCGATATGTCGAGGACAAGCCTGGATAAACCCCAAACTGAACTAGGCCGTAAAACGTGTCAAATGGGATGCATGGCCAGCGCAGGGGCCATATGCTCAGGAAAGTCACCCAATGTGGTACCAAAAGCAAACACACACACATACTCGCGACACCTACACAAACAGACAAAACAGAGACATGCACACTCACACACACATGAAAAACAAGCACGCAGACAGATATACAAACAGAAAGAGAAACAACCCTCCCACGTACAAACCCACATGCAAATAGCAATGCTCACCACAAACAAAACACCTACACAAAACAAACACACCCGCGCCAACCCACGCTCACACCAAAAGCACCGCGCACACAAACCACACGCGACACACACGCACACAACAAAGGCTAAAACACTCCAACACCCCCCGCCCACTACACGCACACAAAAGCAGCGCGTAGTGTATCAAACCAAACAACAGCAACCGCTTTAGGAATCGAACACACATTATTCTCTGAAGGCCACACCCTATGACATCAAAGGGAAGCACTCTGACAAGCCTGGAGTAAGTGAGAGGTCAACAAGAAGCCCGCTGGACCCCAAATGGTTTGCAATCGAATATGTGCAGACTGCAGCAAAGACAGTCTCCAAATGACATGGGCCACGGGCAGACTCGCAGACACAAAAGTCAGATGAAAAATGCTGTGCGTCAGCGTGCGGACCATGCTGTCCGAAGAGCAAATACTGAACGGCCTGGGGAGAAACGAAACAGCACGGGTGGACGACAAGTCGATATGGCGAACCGGATCTGCCCGGGCGGTTTGAGCCGCAGCAACTTTGCAAACTCCAAATTTTGCTGGTTTGCTGGTTGGTTTGCGGTAAAGTCAACAACGCCTGCCTGCTCGTTTGCGACCCATCCCAAACAAACCAGCAAACGACGTTTATGAAAGCACTCGCTTACCCTTTGGGACCCTTCAGGATTGAGAGCCAAGTGGCTGGAACTGCCGCCATCGTCGTCCGCTTCAGAGAGCACTGACCTGGCCAAGCGGCTTGATGCGAAATGCCCTTGGGCCAATACGCTTAGATTCTGGTATGTATCTACCCGAAAGTGAACATCCCGGCTCGTCAATTCAAGGAGACCCAAAAGTGGCAAACATGTCCTTTTGGCTTCCCTTTAAGCCAAGCTGAAAAACAAGGTACCCTAACACACACACACACACACATGCACACACGTTTGACGAGGAACTTCTTTTTCGGGCGGGCATTCCTTCTTTGTCTTTGCAGGGTGTCAATATCGGCAGTGTTTTTCCTTTTTTAACATCCATGTTCAACACCCTCAGCATCACCAGCTAGCCTTGGTTTACGCCAGGTTTAGGGTGGGTTCAAGGTTGGTTCGGGGTGGGCTTAGGGCTTGTTTGAGTAGGCATAGCACCTGGTTCGTAGTTTTTTGCTTGGTTGGTTCTTTAGGTTTAGGGATGGTTTAGTGGTGGTTAAGGGTGGTTTAGGTCGGGTTGTGTGCTTGTTTGGTTTGGGGTTAGGGTTGGTTTAGGGTGGGTTCAAGTTGGGTTTAGGAGCTTGGGGTGGTTTTGAGAAGAAAAAAACAATGGTTCATTGCTGGTTTGTATTAGGGTAGGTTTGTTTAGGCTGCTTAGAGCGGGTTTAAGGTTTCTTTTGGGTGGGCTTAGGTTTGGTTTACGGTTGGTTTAGTTTTGGTGGTTTGGGTTGGGCTTTGGGGTTCCTTCAAGGTCGGGCTGGGATTTGTTTTTGTCCTTCAAGGTCATCACAAAGCCAAACAACGGCCCCATGAGAAGTGGGCCCAACCCCCTGAACTGAAGGAACCACCCCTCTTGCGATCTTAATCTTGGAACCCACTTCCCTTCGCGCAACAC